AATTTTCCTGGTGGGGCGGTAGGCAGTGAGGGAGGGAATAATGCCTCCCAGTGGGGTTGTTGTGAAGGTTAGGTGAGATTTTGGGGTATGAGTAGCCTGCTTTGGGCCTTCTATAGGCAATTGTAACCCTCTTCAGGGTGTAAACAGAATCAGGCCACTTCCATTCAAGAAGGACCTGTCTTGGGCACAGGCCTTGGCTCCCTGTAGCCAGAGGGAGCTGGAGTTTGGACCGAGGATTGTCCTTTCCTTTGGCTTTGCCCATCATGCTCCTCCTTAGTCCCTTGACTGCACCTGCCTGAGCCAGCTTGGCCCCCTTGTGCCTAGAGAAGGGGATGAGGAACTAAAATAGACTGGGCACCACCACATTTCACACACTGAACCCACTCCATCTTCCCAGGTTCACATGCCTTCATCTTCACATCAACTTCTATACCCCTAGTTTTGTGAATGAAGAAACTGACCCAGAGAGCTCAAGTAACTTGTCTATGATTTACTTGCTGTCTGACCCAGGACAAATGTCTGAACTTTGTGGGACAAAGTCAGTTGGGAGAAATTATTAACCTCAGGGTAGTTATGAGGATTAAGTGTTTAAGCCAGGGTGTTGAATGATCCTTTCCTCAAAACTTTAGAATATTCTTGATGGAGGAAGAAACCAAAGAGACAGCTCCCTCCCTGTCCAGTCAGCCTTAGCTGTTCCTCACTATCATCGTGCCCCAGCTGATTGCCAGAACCAGATTTGATACTTACTTTACCTAATGTGTGTCAGTGCTACTGTGTCATTTAATTCTTGGCCTGTGACATAGGTGATTTATTCTATTTGACAGATGATGAGATTGAAAATTTAAATATTTGGGTTGAGGTCACATGGTCAGACAGTAGCAGAACTGGGGGACTCAGCACAGAACCCTGACCACCAAGCCCTTTACACTTTGTGTTGCCAGGGCTCTTTGCTGCACCCAGACAGTGGCCTGGGAGGCCCACAGCACACCTTGCTCGTTTAGAGAATTAAATCTGGTTCTTACAGCAAGAATGGAATTTCTAGGCAAGCTTTCCCCCTCATGTGACCCTCCAGTCTGATTTCTGGACCTTGTTAAACTCGTCAAAATGGCCTGGTCCAGTTAAGATCTAGTCACAAGTCCATCTTATTTTCTTTCTACTGCCTTGAAAAAGAAAAGATGGGGCCACAATACTACTTGCATTCCTGTCGTGCTGCCTGCGAACAGTAGCTATTATACTTGGGTGGCAGCAAGCTGGCTGAGCCTAGTTTGATAGTAGCCCAGGGGTGCCTTTCCTCAAAGGCAGGACCGACTGATAAAAGCTCAGTAAGAGCCTGGCTGAGGAAGTCTGTGTTCTGAGGAAATCTATATGGGCTACTCTAGGAAGTGGGCTCTGACAGGTCAAATGCAGGATGTATTTGGGACATACTTATACCAGTTATTCTGAAATTCAGATTTAACTGAGTGTCTTGAATATTTGCTAAAATCTGGCAATCTAGATTGTAGGCAAATTATACAAACTCAGAGCTTTGGTTTGCTCCTTTGAAAAATTAGGATAAAACACCCTCCCCAAGAGGAAGCATGAAGATTAACATTTCTAATGAGGAAACCATGACTGTCACCACCCTCACCCCCTTAATCTGGCATGCTTCAGCTAACCCAGCACACCCTAGCTTTCATTTCACAAGCCTTGGAGTTTGCTGGAGGGATGAGCTGATTGCTGAATCTAGGAACATTTTCCTGGGGTCTGACCTTGAAAACCCAAGCCCAGTTGGACCCATCCAGCACTTAATGGTTGCCAGGGAGGACAGCTGCCTGAAAGACAGTGACAGCTGAAGCCCAGTTGCTCTCTGCTGCAGAAGCAGCCCCAGGAACTATGAGGCTAAGAGGAGGACTGTCACTTGTTTCCTCCATGATTTTATCCATCTTCTGGGGACTCTGCTGTCGATGGGCCTTGAGGGTCTGCCTCTGGCCTAGTCTGAGGCTCCTTGAGGCAGAGCCATCTTGGTCTTGTAAGCTGCTCTTCCCTGCCCCCCATAAACCTCCCAGAGCTCTGGATATCAGCCAGCGCTGCTCAGGAGGCGACCTACCTGTCGCACACCTGGAGGAGGAAATCATTGACCAGGCTCTCGTGCCGGCTGCAGATGCTCCTCTGGAAGGCGCTCTTGAGCCAGTCCTCAATGCTGCACACCTGCACGCGGCTAGAGTGCCAGCAGATGGAGAGGCTCCTGAGCGCTGGGCTCAGGAGAAAGTTGTCCTTCTTGAGTTCTGTGAGGGAGCGAAAATGCAACAGGGGCCAGAGTGCAGGGTCCTCAAACACATCTTGGAGCTGGGGGCAGGTCCTGGCGAGGTTCTTCCTGCTGTCCTTGTCCAGGAAGGAGAAGAGGTGCAGCAGGCACTCCCTGTTGAGCTGGGTGATGTGCATGGTACACAGCGGCCACACTGAGTGTGGCTGGAGCCCAGGGACCTGACCTACCTCCTGCTGCTCCTCCCCAGCTCTGGGTTGGTGGACATATATGGTTGTGGAATGGGGTTTATTTCTGGCTAACAACTGGTGCTGAAGCTCTAAGGGGCGGGGGGCGGGGGGGGCAGGATCCAGACATACGTGCAAATCTGTGGCTCGGCTTATATTCAGAGGAATTGAAAATCCTGGCAGAAAAGCAGCCTATTGAAGTTAAATAGTTTCCTTAAAAGGGATTTCTTTTCCTTTTAGCACAATGGTGCTTAGCAGCGAGCTTATTTGGCTTTTCCCAAAGCATTTTCATTCTAGGTGGCTAGCCAGACCCCTTTGTCTGGGCTTGTAGGCTCTGCTCCCTGGAAAGGACCCTAATTGTAACTAGAATGTTTTTATTTTCTAGTATTAATACATAATTATGTCTTTTACTCCACTCTTAGTAGGAAGAAACCTGTCTATAAGGAGCTAAGGGTGACCATTTTTTCAGAGCTGTAAGCAGAAGCCATGAGTAATACACTAATTCTGTTATTTTTACTCAGTAGTGATGGTTTTTCCAGGCTAGGCTGAACTACCCTCAAAATCTTGCTGCCTTCCACAAGGCAAAGGGATTTTTGGGCCTCCCAACTGGCTCTATTTTTACCCAGAGCTGTTTCATAAAAGATTTATCTTAAGTAGCTTATATTTCCAGGGTTCTCCTGTGTGTGTGTGTGTGTCACGTTTTAAACTTTTTACTTGGCTTTACATTTTTCCAGTTATGTGCCCTGCTGTATTTAGTGTGTATTCCTCAAAATGTCAGGATAGATGAGGCAGCTCTTCATACAGAACTGCTTGAAACAATTTTAAAGTATTTTAGTCTAAACTAAAATACTTTAAGCTAGCCACACCCCATCCTCCTTGTGAATGCTTTTAGTTCCATTTGGCAAACTGCCTGGAGGTCTTATCTATTAAGTTCTCCCTTCCTAAAAGTAACCAAGATTTCTCAATAGGTGGGCCCATTTTCTAATACTTCAATCTCAATCCTACTGTGAAGGCCTAGATTTGGTTGGTTTGGGGGATGCAGATAGTAAAGGCTTCATTCTGCCTGTGTAGCAGTGAGAGAGGAACAGTGTTTTTTCTGCTAGACCAAGGAACACCATGTCAGGGATTACCTTCATCTGGAAGGAATGGGAATACGTTTTCTAAGTTGTGTGGAGTAAGACCTATGAAGCAACTATGCTAGACCCTCTTCTAGAAATAAGGCTTGGTCAGGCCTGGTGCAGCTTTGCCTTTAAAAAGCAGAATGCAGCTAAGGAAAGAAAGCAGCCATTCTAGCCAGCTTCCCTGCTGTGAGAAGGCAGTATCAGCAGTCCTGTGTGCCTCAGTTACCCAGCCACTGCCAAGGTGAAGTAGCAGGGGTGTTTTCTTAAACAACAAAACAGCTAAATGGAACAAGTATTTCTAAAGGAAAGGGTAAACTAGCTAATATTTCCAGCTAATCATTTTAATTGTTCAAAATGACAGCTGACAGCTGAAGGCCCTTTAGGCTCTAGTTGTGATTCTCAAGAAAGGGACGCAGCAGCACACCTGTGTTCAATAGAAGGCCTAATCTCCACTTTCCCTCCCAAATCCTTTCCAGTCCAGTACTTTTCAGAGGGCCGCCCCCTGGAAACAGGCAATTCATTCAGCTTTTTAGTGTGCTGGCCATCAGAAGTCAATTTTGGTTCCTCGTGGCTTCCCAGTCGCATGCCCATAGCCCTGCTGGAGCAGCAGAACCCTGGCAGGGTGAATGGTTAGAGCCTGGCCCCCTGCTGCTCTTCTGGGTGGGCACTAGGAAGCGCCCCAGAATGCGGCAGGGAGGGTTCTGGCTCAGGCCTGGGGTGATGACAACAGAGCTTCCCTTTTTGCCTGTGTGGAGCTTGGCTACTTGGCTGCAGCAACAGCAGCTGCACAGCCTCTGACCAGCACAGCTGCCCAAAGGAAACGTGCTATACGGGACCTGGAGGCCAAACCATTTGGGCTGCAAGCACCTGTCTTCAGTTTTAGAAAACTGATAAGAACAGGCAAGTAACAGGAAAACGATGGGTTTAGACAAAGGATGATTGTTTTTTCTGTTTGCAGGGGACATGGGGGCAGAGAGGTAGTGTATAGGAGCCTACTGTAAAAAATGTTTTTTGAAAGCATTTATTTTAAAAGATGACCAATATCCTTTGCTCAGAACCCAAAACCTGGTTCCTCGGGGTAGTCTAGTGAAGGAGGCAAGCAGGCTTCATTTTTTTTAAGATCAGCAGTCACAAGGAGCGACTCAGTCACAAGTCATAACAGGATGACTTCACTGAGCATGGGTGAGCTCCCTCAGGCACCTGACTGTAGGCACTACAGGGTCTTTTCTCGCCACCACCCTGCCCACAAGTCTCTTCATCTGAGCCTCTGTACACCAACAGCCCCAGATGGTGAAGGTGGTGAGGGTGCTGTAAGAACTAGCTTGCTGTTGACTGACTTCCAGAGCTTGAGCAAGTACATCATCATTTACTTGGCTCCACTGAAAGGTATTTAGAAATAATAGTCCAAAGGAAAGAGACCAGACCTTTAATGATACTTTCCATAAAACAGTTCAGGTTGGTGAAGCAGAAAAGGGATGTGATTACAACTTAAATGAAATCGATCACTTGCATAATCCTCTCAGCATCATACAAACTAGGTTTTAATGGCAAATGATTACAACACAGCACGACCAATGCTTACGGAGGGCAGTTTGGATTCCATTACACTCAGACCTGAGGGGGAAGGTACTGCATCCAGTGAGGCGATGCAAAGACCCTGGACTACGCCATGACACTACCACATGCCCACCTCTTCCTGTGCAGTGAGTGTTCCCATGGCTACACTCGGTCACCTGGGACCCATGCCTGGCTGCAGGAACACACTTTGCTCACGAGCTTTGCCAGGGCCCAAGTGAAGAGGCCACATCAGCAACAGAGGGGACATGAAAGGTTTAGGGGACAGTGGAGGTTGAGGTGGGATAAGTATATCTTACTAGACTTATGTACACTAAACCAATGAAGGAGAGGTTTGGCTTTAAGAAATAAATACGTCCCCAACCCCAGAAACCAAGCTGCTGAGTAGGTTCCACAGGTGAGATACACATTTAACACCAACCAGGGCCAGTATACTTTACCGGTTTAATTCTATTACATTTGTCATCACTAGACACTGAGTAGAATACAGTGGATAAGCAAAGGTTTCTCCACCATGGAGAGAGATTTGTGTTGCCACAAACTGTTTCTATCACCCCCCTGTGTGGGAGGACTTCTGAGAAAGTTTTCTTGTCCAAGGAGCCACGTGACCCGGCATGAGGCCCTGCCTTAGCATAAGTTCTCTGAGAAGCCACATACATGCCTGAGACAGCATGGCACAAGAGAAAAAGCCCTGAAGAGCACACACACAAAAAAATCAGCTTTTAAAATAGGTGTGATAAGGCTACACAGTTAAATTTTTAAAATACAAATAGGCACATTTACATCACTGGTGTTCAAGTGCACAATTCAAATGGATGCAATCATTTTTCCAAAGAGCCTTCGTGATACCATTCAAACATTTCTGCTTAAAATCAAGCAATAAAAATACAAAAATTCAAAGAGACGTGTTTATCTCTTAAGCCAACAGTGTTGCCTGAGGACCACTTTCCTCAACAAGGTAATCCAGTCCATTGCTAAGTTCCACCTGGCATAAAAAGACAGCTTTTCACCACCATCAACACTGCCCAAAGCTTTATTGTTGAAGTCATAACAGCTGCCCATTCAGCGATACTAACGATCTAAGTGCAAATGTTAGAAGTTACAGCTGTGTACCTTCTAAAGCAAAAGAGCCTGGATTCATAGGAGATACTTAGCAAAATCAAAGAAGATGCACATTTCAAGTTCAATTAGATGTGGTGTTAATGTACTGATTAGATCAAATTATGCAAAACTCATTTTTGTAGATCAAAAAGTCAACTATCACAATTTCATATGGTTCAACCTAATCTAATTTAGCACTGTAAACCATTTTAAATACATGTTCACCTCTTAATTATCTTCTAGACTCTTTAAATGGTAAGACCTAACATGATGGCAAAGTTTTTCTCTGGAGTGAAAATTTAGACCAGCCCTGTCCAAGGAAACACTACGCATTGGTGGAAATGGTCTAGCGGTGCGCGGTTCTGTGCCACAGAACATGAAACGGGGCTAGTGCGACTGAAAAACTTAAAGTTAATTAAATTTGTGGCTAGTGACCACCTGTACCGGACAGGACAAGGTTAAACGTAATTGCAATTTGTTCCTAGTCATGTTAAAGTGTTTAGCAGATGTGTTCTGCTCTGAGAAAATGTGGGATTTATGCAGCTAATACTAAAGTGGAAAATGAAGCCGCATCTGCTCCTGCAACTTCAAATATCTGGCCTAGGACGGCAAGCACCAGAATTTCTTTTACATTTACACACTTAAAATCTTTACTTTTTTGTTTAATAGAAGAAACAAGATTATCAAAAAGTCTGGTTGGCTGGCTTAACATGAACTACTTTCTGTCCCTTGTAATAACTTGTAGAAAATTGAGAAGGGAGAAAAATAATGATTGGGACAAGAGATGAACATGAAAACAGTGTGTGGTCCATGCATACAGGCCTATTTTGGAGTTCCTTCTCTAAGTAATTTGCAAGTAATGCCACCGCCACCCATAATCAACAGACTGGCTTGAAGCACGCGCGGAAATCACGATCACCTTCGTTAAATGGGATTCTGGTTCCAAATTTCAATTTAAGTTAAATCTAAATAGTTCTTGTACCTATTTTTCTTAAGAACAATTTTAAAACAAAGACTACTAAACTCAACAGGAACTCTACTTATTCAAAGTGAGAATATTTTTAACTTGCTCTGCTATCAGGATAGGCCAGAGTTTTTAAAACCTTAGAGTAATAAAGATTCTCATTTCCTTCTGTAGAAGCAGACCCCACAGTGTTACATGAAGGGCAGATGATGGTCAGAATCAACTCTGGAGGCTGGCATTTCAACCCCAGATGGCAAAGCAGGAAGAAACAGTGAAGCAGACATGCAGTTATCCCCAGTGCTACAACTAATGGGGGAATTAGGTGCTGATTCAAAAAAGCAAACAAAAGCTATGGTTGCATCTCACTGGGTAACACCTATGCCATGTAGCTGGGTCACAGAATTTTTTTAACACTAAATGTATTTGGTCTTATTTAGACTTTTCTGTACTCTCACCTCTATTAAAACACACATAAAAATACCCCCAAACCAAAAAACCAACAGAGTAATTCTTGAATTTTCAGTACAGGTACCACTGAACCACCAAATTTATTTAGTGCTGATAAACAGCAGCCTTGAAAGATACCAGGAGCATCAATTACCTGGTCTACTCAATGATGCACTCTGTTATCTCTTACAAGCAAAAAGAATGATTACTGAGCAGTCACTGAAATCTCGTGGGCCACAAATTACATGCACACATGATTCTTGATTTAGAGTCAACCTGATCTCCAGTACAGCAGGCAGTTATGTCGTTCTTCATGATCAGGAACAGAGCTTGCTTTCGGCATGTGAGAGAAACCAAAGCATTGATGCAAATGTGCCTCAAAGTGAGAACTGAAAACATTAATATAAAAAAGTCAAATAGAACTAAGTTCTTGGAACTACATATAAAAACAATTATTACAACTAAAGCAGCAAATCAAAACATCTGCTGAGGTTTTCTGGTAGAACTAAAAAAAAAAAAGTTGGTGCCCATGTTCAGTAAGTCACTACCATTGACAAAATAAAACTAAACCCAAAATAGGAAACTGAAAAGTGCATAATGAAATTAAATCTTGGATCAAGTATTTATGGAAAACTGGAAATGTTTGTCCGGTACAGTTGACGAATAATGATTTAGAGGAGGTATTAAAGTTTATCTGATCCAGCTTTGGCCTGGCGTTCCACATAAAAAAGGATGTAGGCCTTTGCCTTCACAACGGTGTCTTCATCAGTCAATGTTACAGTACTGTCATTAAAATGGAACCAGCGACCTTCATGAGTTGCATATGCTGTGTAATGTCCAGAACCAACCCTGTAAGGAAAAGTCAAAATATCAAAGACGACTATAGAAATCAGACGGAACTGTGCAACCATGAAACTCACAGATATATAAATTTTAATAAGTACTATCATCAAAGAATAAATCCTGGAGACTTGTTTAAAATGGCTGTTTGAGCTCACATTTTTATCTTCCTCAAAACCCACCGAAATGACAAGGAATATATTGACACTGGAAAACAGAGAAAAGTGCCACTGACTGACCAAAAATTGAGGATTTTCTAGAATACATAAAGGAGTGTATTGGATTAACAGAGAAACCCAATAGCTAAGGAACTCTCAATATAATTAAGCATTGGTCAAGGCCTGTGGAAACATGGGAAACTGAGAACCAGATTCCTCATTAGTCTTGGGGGAAAAAACCAAGCTTAAGAAAGCCGTCTGCCTCCAGGGAAGCGCTTTCCCCCTACTTTGGCCGTCAGGGCTTTTCTCTGTCAGCCTGACCCACACATTCTCACTGGAGCCCCGGAGCCAGCCCTCCCAGGCAGAGCAGCATTCTGGTACAACAGAGACCTTCACAATTGCTAGAAAAAACGCTTACCATTTACCAATAATTATCAACCTCATTCCTCATTTATCATGATCCTGAATAAACAACCAAAAGTCATCAAAAAGATACGTCCCAAGAAAAACAGTAAAGCAGTTAACCATTGAGGAATTTAATGCAAAAATACAAAAAGAACTCTAAAAATTCTAATTAGTACCAACGGTTTTAAGGAGATACTGCAACCATAAAACAAGAATAGGCTGTTATGAAAAAGTTATCAGAAAAATGTGATGGCCACAATCTAAATATTTCATGGAGAAGCTAATCTTCAATTTGGATATAAATGAAACCCAAATTGGTGATTTGGAAAAACAAACCATGGCAGTTCTCTGAAACAGATGGAAAACATGAAAGAATAGTTAAAATGTGTGAAAGACCTAAATTCACTGTACATTTAACAGGAGTTCCAGAGGGAGAATAGAGAATGGGGTGGAATAAATAAACATTTCCATGAGCTGAAGCCACCAGACTAAGCTTATCCCTATCAACTATCAGGAATATATATGATGTAATTTCTTAACAGGATCCTACAACTTTCCAAAGAGAAAAAAACAGGCCGCCTATAAAGAAGTGAATGAGAGTCAGACTTGTAGTGGACTCATCATTTATAATTCTATGAATGAATGGTGAAGCAACTGGACCAATGTCTACAAAGTTCTGGAGAAAAGGATTTTCAACATGGATAATGTTTTGCCCAAGTAATAGTAGTCTGCAAGTTTGAAGGTAAAGCTGTCATTCTCAAACAGATCAGAAATCAGACCGTAAATGCCCCTAATACAAAATTTTACGGGGAAAAAAAAATCAAGAATTATTCAACAAAATAAAAAATCTTCAGAGAATATAATGTTAAGTTATAAATAATCTTCCATTTTCTCTCATTTAAATATCAATCGGCAAAAGAAATAACTTTAAAGACTACTCAGGATTTTATGGACAACAAGATTGGGTTCTAAATGTTGGCCTCGAATGAATCATGCTCCATTTTGCTTTATGTACCTTCTCTTCGTGGTTCACAACATCCTCTCAGGAATGTTCTTTCACACCAAAACTTAAAGTACTACTTCATCTACTTGAATGTATCTGAATCCATTTTTTAGGGAGTTTGGGAAGAATTATCAAGAGTAATGCAACACTGCAGGTCTACACTGCTATTCCCAACCATGCCGAGGCCACCGCATACTCACCCAGAGCCGTGGTGCACCACCACAGCAGCGAGGTCATACAGGCAACTCTCGGGGCCGCTGTTCTCGGGCTGCAGAAACAGGGAGAAGGCATCCCGGGCCTGAGTTAGAAGCAGTGGTCAATGGCTTCAGTACTTCCTGCCTCAATAACCTCTACCCACTGTCTGTGAAGACGTAATTTTACCGAAGAGCCATCTTTTCACTAGGCTAACCAAGGTAATTACCTTACCTCTAGCAAGTAGCATTTCATGTCTAGGCCTCTCAGTGGAAATTCTACATATATATCAACTTTGTTTCTTAAATATGCTGTCCAATGAAATCTTTTCAAATGTAAGCATAGCACCTGGATGAGAGATAAGGACAAAGACTGTAAATAAAACACCTAATTTACCTTTCAATCAAAATTACTTGGTACTAATGTCTCTCAAATAATATTTTAGATGGCCTATCAGTTTTTCTTTTGATCTTTGATATTGCTTTCTTCCACACATACATTATTGTGATATTATAATTTATAATAAATATATATTTGGTCTTAGTTCTCTTTTCTGGGACTACAGCTCCTAAAACCCTTAGAATTTCCTAAGCAGTGAGAGTGATAAACATGTCTTATGTTAATGAGGTGACTGGTAGACCTCACCTTAGGATGAAGGCTGGTTGCCAAGAGAACAGACCAAGTGATTAGAGGGCTGGAACTTTCAGTCCCACCCCCCTCATCTCCAGGGTGGGGAGAGGGAATAGAAGCTGAATGGTCACCAGTGGCCAATAATGTAAACACTTACACATATGTAATAAAGTCTCCATAAAAACTCAAAAACACTGGGTTTGGAGAAGATCCAGGTTGGGACACCAGGTGCCACCATGCCAGGACCCAAACCCCGCAAGAACAGAAGGTCCTTTGTTTGGAACCTGGCTCTGTATATCTTCATCTGGTTGTTGATTCATATCCTTAAATATGCTTGATAATAAATCAGTAATCTAGTAAGTAAACAGGTTTCTTCTGTTCTGTGAGCTGCTCTGATCAATTAATGGAACCCAAGGAGGGGGGCAGGGCAGGTGGGCATAGGAACCTCTGATTTACAGATAATCAGAAGTACAAGTAACCGCCTGGACTTGCAACTGGCATCTGCAGTCCAAAGAGAAGGGGGTCATGGTAACTTCCAGTGTGTAGGTCAGAAGCATAAAGTAACAACCTGGGCTTGTGACTGGCATCTGAAGTGGAAAAAGGTCTTGTGGGAATAATTTAGCCTTTAACATGTGGAATCTGATGTTATCTCAGGATAGTCTCAGAACTGAGTTGAATTGTAGGACACCCAGCTGGTGTGGGAGAATCGTCTGGTGGTGGTGTGGGAGCTGCTCTCCCCCTCTACACACTGGAAATGGTTATCAGGACACGCTGAAGTATGCATTCTCAAAGGGTCTATTTAGCTTTTACTGAAAACTCTAGAGACCAATACAGAACAGATCACATAAAGTTATAAAAATAATTTGTTTTCTCATCAGTCATAAGCACTTTCCCCTCAAAACTGCATTATAATTTGAAACTTAACACTTACCTTGGGTAGTTTTTGAATCCAGAACTTTTTAGTGGACTTTTGTTTCTTTTTGCATTTGTGGCACATATATAATTCTGTCTCATCAAGTTCTTCTAAGTCAGTAAAACTGCGAAGACAATCTAAAACCAAAATGATTTTGAGAGCATTAAAAGAGGAAGTCTTTAATAGAGGTAGAGTATTGTGGAAAACAGACTGAGAACTTCAAAGCTGAACGACTCAGGCTCAAATCTCCACTTTATTAGCTATATGTGACCTTGGAAAAGTCAGCCTTTCTCAGTTACCAAAAAAAGACCAAATTAATAATAATAATAATAATAATAATAATAATACCTACTTTGAAGAACTGCTGTAAGAAATAAAAATATGTATAAAGTGCCTAGCATCATGTTTGACATCTGGTAGCACTATTATTTTTTTAGATGGTATTATTGTTGTTGCAATTGCTATTATTAATGAAAGAATTAGTCTGAATAACTGATAAAAATGGTTTCCCAATGAAATCAGGTTGAAACAGCAATTTTCTCTCAATATCTTACATTACAGAGGACAAAGCCCAAAATTCATAAAAAAAAAAAAAAAGGCAAATTTAGATCAAACATTTTCACAGTCAGAACTTATTAAAAAATAAACACAGATTATAGAAGGCTGCATTATCGGCCTCCTACTACACCCTCCAATGGCTCCTTCATTCCAGACTGTACTCCCAATCCCCTGGATAAACCAGAGCTACATAATTTTCTTTTAAACACTTAATTGTGTAAACTGGGCCTTGGTAAACTGTGGCCCCAAGCCAAATCCAGCCACCTGGCATTGTAAATAAAATTGTCCTGGAACACAGCCATGCCCATTCATTTATATATTATTACCTGTTGCTGCTTTTAAGCTGCAACTGCAGAGTTGAGTCACTGGGACCAGACCTTTATTTTATATGCTATAGAAGCCTAAAGTATTTACTTATCTGGCTGGCCCTTTATAGAAAAAGTTTGCTGACTCCTGGTACAATCAGTAGTATATTCAGAAGTCTATAAAATGTATGTATCATTCTGTAGAGAATTAATATTATTCTATTTAAAGAAAAATATGAATGCTTAAGTACCCACCACTCAGGTAGAGGAATGGATTCTCTCCTGTACCTGAGGAGCCCATTTATGTGAATGGCATCCCTTAGAGTCATGCAGTGGGCAGCCTGTGCAACCACATGCAGGAGCCATGTTGGGAGCTTCCTGTGTGTGCCTCTTCCCAATTACGAACGCCCTCTCCCCCTAGAAGCAGCCAGTATCCTGACTTTTGTGTTAATCATTTCTTTGCTTACCTTTATAGATCATAATGTGCATCTTTAAACAATATACTGTTTACTCTGAAAAGCTGGATAGCAAGCACAAACCTAGCTACATAAGGAAAAGCAATACTATCTCTGTACTCAAGAATTTCCATGTCATAGTCGGCCTTGGCTTCCATGACAGAGTAGAAGGGCCCCATCAGGGGAGGTTAGTGGGACAAGGTCTAGCAGAGCTTGGGTGTGGGCTGGTTATTGCATAGGCCAGTATGTGGCCAGGGGGTATAATTGACATATAACATCAGTTTTGGGTGTACAACATAATGATTTGATGAATGTGTTATGCTGAAAATGATTACCACAGTAAGTCTAGTTAATACCCATCATCATACATATCTAGAAAATCTTTTTTCTTGTGATGAGAACTCTTAGCAACTTTCAAATATGCAATACATATTATTAACTATAGTCACCATGCTGTATATTACATCTCCATGACTTTATTTTATAGCTGCAAATGTGTACCTTTTGAGCCCCTTCACCTATTTCACCCACCTGACCCTGCCTCTGGCAACCATTAATCTGTTCTGTTTCTATGAACTTGGGTTTGTTTTTTTAAATAGGTTCCACAAATAAGTGATATCCTATGGTATCTGGCTTTCTTTCTTATTTCTCTTAGCATAATGCCCTCAAGGTCCACATTGCCACAAATGGCAAGGTTTCCTTTCTTTTTATGGCTGAATAATATTCTGTTGTTGTTGTGTGTGTGTGTGTGTATCATATTTTCTTTATGCATTCATCCGTTGATGGACATTGAGGTTGTTTCCATATCTTGGCTCTTATAAACAATGCTGCCATGAACATGAGGGTGTATATATCTTTTCAAATTAGTTTTCATTTTCTCCCAATAATAATACAGAAGCAGAACTGCTGGATCATATGGTGATTCTATTTTTAATTTTTTGAGAATCCTCCATACTGTTTTCCACAGTGGCTGTACCAATTAACATTCCTACCAGCAGTGCCCAAGGGTTCTCTTTTCTCCACATCCTCTCCAACACTTGTTTGCTCGTCTTTTTAATGATAGTCATTCTAACAGGTATGAGGTGGTATCTCACTGTGGTTTTGATTTGCATTTTCCCTGATGATTAGTGATGTCAATGCCTTGTAATATGCCTGTGAGTCATCTGATGTCTTCTTTGGAAAAATGTCTTTTTAAATGGGATTATTTGTTGTTGTTATTGTTTTGCTACTGAACTGTATGAGTTCATTATATATTTTGGAATTAACCCATTATCAGACATATGATTTGCAAATATTTCTCCCATTCAGTAGGTTGCAGACAAAATTTCATTTTGTTGATTTCTTTTGCTATGCAAAAGCTTTTTAGTTTGATGCAGTCTCACTTGTTTACCCCTATGTTTTCTTTCAGGAGTTTTATGGTTTCAGGTCTTACATTCAAGTCCATTTTGAGTCAATTTTGGTGTATAGTATAAGACAGTGGTCCAGTTTCATTCTTGTGCATGTGGCTGTCCAGTTTTCTCATGACCATTTATTGAAGAGGCTGTCCTTTCCCCACTGTATGTTCTTGGCTCCTCTGTCATAAATTAATTGACCATATATTCATGGGTTTATTCTGGGCTATTCTGTTCCACTGATTATGTGTCTGTTTTTATGCCAATATCATACTACTTTGAATACTATAGTTTTGTAGTACAGTTGAAATCAGGGAGCACGATGCCTCCAGCTTTGATCTTCTTTCTCGACTGCTTAGGCTAGGCAGTCTTTTGTGGTTCCATACAAATTTTAGGACTGTTCTATTTCTATGAAAAAAATGCCACTGGAATTTTGATAGGGATTACAATGAATTTATAAATTGCTTTGGGTACTGAACATTTTAACAATATTCTTCCAATCCATGAGCATATAGCATACCCGTTCATTTATTTGTGTCTCCAATTTCTTTCATCAATATCATAGTTTTCAGTGTGCAGGTCTTTCACCTTGTTGGTTAAATTTATTCCCAGGTATTTTATTCTTTTTGATGAAGTGGTAAATGATATTGTTTTCTTAATTTTCTTTCTGATAGTTTATTAGTGTATAGAAATGCAACAGTATTTGTATATTGATTTTGTATTCTGCAACTTTACTGAATTCACTTAGTTTTAACAGGTTTTTGGTGGAGTCTTTAGGGTTTTCTATATATAATATCATGTCATCTGCTAACAGTAAGTTTTACCTGTACCTTTCCAATTTGGAGGCCTTTTATTTCTTTTTCTTGCCTAACTACTCGGTCTAGGACTTCCAATACTATGTTTAATAAAAGTGGTGAGAATGGGCACTTTTCTTGTTCCTGAACTCAGAGGAAAGGCTTTCAGCTTTTTACTGTTGAGTATGTTTGACACAAGCTTGTCATATATGACCTTTATTATGTTGAGGTACCTTCCCTCTATACCAAATTTGCTGAGTTTTTTAAATCATAAATGGATATTGAATTCTGTCAAATGGTTTTTCTGCATCTGTTGATATCATATGATTTTTATCCTTTATTTTGTTAATGTAGTGTATCACACTGATTGGATTTGTGGATACTGAACCATCCTTGCATCCCTGGAATAAATCCCATTTGATCATGGTGTATGATCCTTTTAATGTATTATTGAATTCAGTTTGCTAATATTTTGTTGAGGATGTTTGCATATAGATTCATCAGGGATACTGGCCTATAATTTCCTTTTCTTATGGTGTCTTTGTCTTGTTTTGGTATCAGAGTAACGATGGTCTTGTAGAATGAGTTTGGAGGTGTTTCCTCCTCTTCTATTTTTTGGAAGAGTTTGAAAAATATTGGTATTAATTCTTCTTCAATGTTTGGTAAATTTACCAGTGAAGCCATCTGGTCTTGACTTTAGTTTGTTGGGACATTTTTGATTATTGATTCAATCTCCTTACTAATAATTGTTCTGTTCAAATTTTCTATTTCTTCATGATTCAGTCTCGGTGGGTTGTATTGTTTCTAGGAATTTATCCATTTCTTCTAGGTTGTCCACTTTGTTGTCATATAATTGTCTATAGTTATGAGCCTTTGTATTTCTGTGGTATGAGCTGTAATGTCTCCTCTTTCATTTCTGATTCTGAGTCCTATTTTTTTCTTGGTGAGTCTAGCTAAAGGTTAGTCAATTTTATTTATTTTTCTTAAGAATAAACTCTTAGCTCTTAAGTGTCACTGGTCTTTTCTACTATCCTTTTAGTCTCTATTTCATTATTTTTGGCGGCACAGGGGTAGGGCTCTGATCTTTGTTACTTCCTTCCTTCTACTTTGTTCTTCTTTTTCTAGTTCCTGAAGGTATAAAGTTAGGTTGTTTGAGATTTTTCTTATTGTTTGAGGTAGGCATCTATCACTATAAACTTCCCTCTTAGAACTGCTTTTGCTGCATCCCACAAGTTTTGGCATGTTGTACTTCCATTTTCATCTGTCTCAAGGTATTTTTTTCTCTTTTGACTTCTTCTTTGACTCACTGGTTGTTCAGTAGCATGTTGTTTAACCTCCATGTATTTGTGTATTTCCAGTTACCTTCTTATAATTGATTCCTAGTTTCATACCGCTGTGGTTGGAAAATATATGATTTCAATCTTCTTAAATTTATTAAGGCTTGTTTTGTGGCCTAATATATGATCTAGCCTAGAGAATGATGCATGTGCTCTTGAGAAGAATATTTTGTTGCTTTTGGATAGTATGTTCTGTATATGTCTATTAAGTCCATCTGGTCTAATGAGTTGTTTAAGGCCGACATTTCCTTATGGGTGTTCTGTCTGGATGATCTATCCATTGATGTAAGTGGAGTA